TTGCTATGGTTAACTTAGAATGTAAGTATAAGTAAGTATGATATTGTATGTATAACTGTTGTTGTGTGTTTTATCAAGGTTGTTTTTTTGGTGAAAAGCACGTTAGCTTTCCCCCTACAAAACAACTTGTAAAGAGGGGAGGTGTTACATACAGCACTGATGTTACCTGTCTGTCATGGGTTTGGAGGGAAAGTTCCATCCTATGGGGAGTGGAAGGCGGGACATCAGGAGGAGGGGCTGTACTGTATAAATATGTGGAGCGTGTGGAGAGATGCTGACACACACTGTGAGACACTGAGAGATGCTGAGAGACACTGGGATGTGACGAAGCAGCAGCTGGGAAGAAGAAGCTGTTGTGGGAGTCTGTGTGTCAGACAGGGTACTTCTGTGTGTCAGAGTACCAACCTGATAGGTTCAGGTGTCTGTGGGTTAGCCAGAACTGATAGGTTCAGGGTCTGTGCTACAAGTTAAGGGTTCTGGGTGAACCAAACTGTATGCTTGTATGAGTGAGAATAAGCCACGTTACTTTATCCTATTCACCTGATTGTTTATTTTTCCCTGTGTGTATTTAAATAAACCTTATTCTTTTTATTGTTTGAAAATCCATCCCTGGTCTGTGTGACTTCTTACAGGGAATGGTTGGTGGCAGCTTAGTGTAACTGTGTGACATATCCCAGTAGGTCTGGGTTTGTCACACTAAGTAACATTCATAATTTTATTCTTCAAGAACATGTGAGTTAATAATCATCATCTTAGAACTGCGGGAGATCTAAGTAACATTCATAATTTCATTCTTCAGGAACAAGTGAGTTAATAATCATCATCTTAGAACTGCAGAGTGGGAAGGGGCCCTCTGGATCATCAAGTCCAGCCCGTCAAGCAGGCACAGTGTGGGAATCAAACTCCCAACCTTTGGCTCCTCAGCCAAAGACCTAAACCACTGAGCTCTCCAGAGTTGAGGAGTCAAACCAGAGGCTGGACAAATCTTTTGGATTTGCCTAAACAGGAATAAGGGATCACCTATCTACCAACCCCACTATTCATGGCTGGTGGACAGCATTCATTTTGGTGGATTACAAATTGCGTAGCCTGCTGGGCATATGGTTGTAGTGTCTTGTTCCACCTTAGGCTGGTGTGCCAATTGGTTCTATTCCTGATGGGGTCAGACATGGCCAATGGGACACATGCCTCCCTTACCTCTAGACTTCTGCGTTTCTTACATTATTGGTATTTCTTCCACCAATGTTTAATCCTTCTTCATCTGAATCTAGTCTTTCCTTATGATATGTTCTGCATACAGATTGGACAGATAAGGGGATAAAATGCAAGATCACCAAGTGTAAGGATGTGTCACTGGAGGCCAAGACCAAGATCATCCACACTCTTATATTTCGAAACACCATGTATAAGAGTAAAAATTGGACAGTAAAGAAAGCTGAAAGGGGGAAAAATGATTTGTTTAACATTGGTGCTGAAAGACAACTTTGAGGATACCCTGGACTGCCAGAAAGTTTAAAACTGGTGTTGAAGGACAACTTTGAGGATACCCTGGGCTGCCAGAAAGACGGACAAGTGGATCCTACAGCAAATCAAGCCTGAAATCTCTGGAGGCAAAATAAATAAACAAATGACAAAACTGAGGCTGTGCTGCTTTGGGCAGATCATGAGGAAGCAGGATTCCCTGGAGAGAGAAAAAACAACAATACTGGGAAAGACTGAAGCCAGCAGGAAAAGAGGAAGGCCAAACAAGAGATGGGTCACCTCTCAATTGCTGAGCAGGCCTGTTGAGGACAGGGCTTTCTGGAGATCATTCGTTCATGGGGATACCTAAAATTGGAGGCTATTTTGATGGGACATGGCAACAGCTGGATTACGGGCACAAGTAGGGACCTTTGAAGAGTCTTTGGAAACTGTTGCTGATATCTGGATTGTCCTAGAACTGAATGGGGAGACATCCTCTATGTCTCATTTGTGGTGGAGGCCCAACTGATGGGGATCAGAGAGAGGGCCTTGTCCAGTGAAACTAAATGGTGGGGTTCTTCTTTGCTATACCGCTGGCTACTTTGATAGTATTTCACCATACAGTGAAAGTATTCTGATTTAGGCAGACATTTGCTTTACAAGTTGTTTTTCAAACAATGTTTTGCCTGTTGCATCTGAGGTTTTTTTTTCTTTTCAACCATAATGTTGTTTCGGAATTGTACAGTCTCTTTCTATTGGCTTTCAAAGCCTAGATGGTATTTAAGCATCAGAAGGGTAAGATTTAAACTTTTGTTTAAATGCTGACAAACTGCCATTGAACTTCAGGTTTCTTAACTAATTTGGTACTCAATATAAAATTGCAATGTATTGAATTATTATTGAATTTCTGTACTCAACTGTCTTCATAGAGAGAAACAACATAGGGTCTAATAATCCTGGCAGCTGCAGCCACATGTGGAGAGAATTTCCTCCAATTAGATATTCAGCATTATGACTTCAATAGTCCTGCCTGCATCCCTTAGAAAAAAAGCTTTTTGTATACTTTGGAGGAGGAGGAAGGATTAAATCAGGCAAATGACATAGGGGAAGGGCTAACAGTCCTTCCTCGGCTTCATTATATCTTATGTGTGTATCCAGGTCTTCCTCTCCGAAAATTTCAGGCTCTCTCTTTTTATCTCCAAAAGAAACTCATCAGCTGTTTTAAGGACAGCTGCCCACTGAAACCCAGCAAGCTCTGTGGCCAAGCAAGGGTTTCAACCTAACCTTCCTTTGGTCCAGATCTACCCACCTCTGCTTGAGTGTACCACAATAGGCTCTCATCAGGGGTCAGGACAGACCAAAGGAAGTAGGCCTTCAGACAATATGTAATTAACTTATGGAATTCATCATTGCCTCAGGATGTTGTGATAAAGGCTAGCATATGGCCTTTTAAAGAATGAGATAAGTCCATGGAAAATATATTTGTCAATGGCCAAATCTAGATATGTTAGGATATTTGTTGTTTATGCCAGCAGAGCTAAATAATGTGCTGGTAAGATTACAGCTAGTGGACTGAAGTAATTACTGCAGAAATGTATAATGAGGTAAAAACGGGAAAACATTACATGTATTGCTTCAGGAAATCCATTCTGGGATAGTGCAGGAAAACAGGCCTAAAGCTGCTTCCAGAATCCCCAAAAGCTTCCATGTATGAAAGTCTGTTCAATCAGTATAGCCAATCATGTTAAGTCTGTCTCTGTTCAGCTGCTAGAGAATACAGGGTGCAAACTCAAGAGAGAGAAGAGAGAGAAGCTAAAGGGAGTTCTAGAAGAGACAACAGGCATAAGCACATTAAGTTGTCCACCTGCCTGTCCTCTCCTTGGCTTCCAGTTGAGATCATCTTGGTGCTCTGTTTTGACATGATGAGAATGCAATAGGCATGATCAGAGTCTGTGTACCTGTGTCCATTGTGTGTTGCAGAGAAACTGCTGGGAATGGCCTCTCCTTTCTCTCCCTGGCAAGATTTTTGCTCCAAGAGGCATCTAGCAGAGATAAGGAGAACACTGGCTGTCAGTGACATACTCATCTCCCTTGATGACCCTTGACCAATAGCTACCGCTCAGCCTAACCTATCTTCTAGGAAGGCGAGGGTAAGATGGTGGTGGTGGTGGGGCAATGACATTCTTCTCTTCTCTACCTAGTTAAGAGTTACCTGGCAACAGCCAATATAGGTTAGCGTCAGATGATCATATTGTGCTCCTGGAATTACTTACCTGAAGATGTATCTTGATGGGAACTCTAAAGTAGGTTAAGAAAAGT